GTTTCCACGTTACTTACAAAAAATTTGGGCCCCTTTGAAACGACGTTGGACGTAGACTGCAAAGAAGAAAGCCCGCAGAAAAAGAAAGAAACACAGAGAGAGAGGTCTCCATTTGTCAAAATAAGTTGATGAGATTGGATATGAAGACACACACGTATCCAAAACTTCCAACTAACCATCACATCAATCATCGTCATGATGCTGTGTTGTGGTCTTGTGGACCGATTTGAAAACCACAAAAGAAGTGACCTAACGATAACATCCTGAGTATGTCATCATACGAATATTGCCTTTATGTATTCTTAGTTTGTTTACCACTGTACGTAGCAAATCTGTTTTATCATATTAACCAACTTTACCAGATCTGTGCTCTTCTTATGTATACGCTTTGCCATATATGATATTATTATTTGTAAATTAAAGTATGCATGTTGGTATATCAATATACTTATCACTTATGGTTGACTTTCGAATTATATATATTCAGAGACGCAGAGAATACCGAAAAAGACGGAATTAGGCACGTTGATGTGAAAAGATGTAGAGGGAGAGACACCGAGTGTGAGTGGGTTTTGTCCTAAAACTTATAAGTCACAATAAGTCAGCTTTAGGCTTCAGTTTTAAGTATCTCCAGCTCCTTTAATTCTTCAAGCAGACACAAAACACACACACTTTTTCTCCGCATCTCTCGGATCTCTAAATTCAAATAGCTGCGTTTCAGCTTTGATGTTGAGAAACAAACTCATGAATCTCTTCAACTTTTGCTGGAGATATCAGAGAGGAGCAAATCCGAGGTTTCCATCGATATATAAAGGCATATCTCTTCTTACCTGGTAATAGTTAATGTTTTTTTCCTTCACCTATCAATCACGTTAAGACCGTTTTGTTCTGTTTGGTTCCCTACAAAATGTGATTAGAGCTAGATATTCGATTTACACTTTGCTCTGTTTTATCTGATCAAGATTAGAAAAAATCACTGGAAAACATTAGCTCTTTGGTTGAAAAGTAGAAATGGGGAGATCATGTTTGCCGAGATGGCGATTAGGAAGACTAATGGCAGGATTACAAGTGATCTTAGGGTTAACAGTGATCACTGTGAGCTTCTCATGTCTCTATAGATTCCATTCCGCGGGTTACTTCTTGCACAACGACGACATCTGTCGCAATATTTACACAATCAAAGAAGTCAGCAACGAAGGATTCGATCTGAAGGCGCTGCACGATCGTGTTGATGAAGTACTAGAAAAGATGGACAGCTTGTACGAGAAGCTAGAGAAGACGGTAAAAGAGATGGAGAAGAGCAAAGACGGAAGCAAAAAGGAGATCAAGAAGTTTCTTGAAGATGAAGTGATGAAGCCATTTTATTATGCTCATATCGGATTAAGGCAAATCCGGTTACCAAAACCCGAAGGAATCAGAAACACAACGGAAAAGGAAGAGCCTTTGATCAATAAATTTCTCATTGAGGAGATAAGGAAGTACATCACACCCAAGGATAACCGGGTTGGGAAGATAAACATGTTTGGAACTGAGAGAGTTTACAACACTATTGGTCATACTTGTGTCTTGATGAAGATGGAGCTAGAGAAGTATATGGATTATGATGTTGGAGCATATTGCGATGATGATTGGAATTTAGCACAGAAGTTGATACTTGGCGGGTGTGATCCGTTACCTAGAAGACGATGCTTGACAAGAGCATCGATGACTTACCAGAAACCTTATCCGATCAATGAGTCATTGTGGAAGCTACCTGATGATAGAAACGTAAGATGGGGAAATTACCAATGCAGGAATTTCGCGTGTTTGTCAAGCAAGAACCCGAAAAGGGGTTACACGAAATGCAGTGGATGTTTTGAGATGGAGAAAGAGAGTGATAAATGGGTCAAGAACAGTACTTTGTTAGTCGATTTCATGATTAAAGATGTTCTGAGAGCAAAGCCAGGTGAGATTAGGATTGGACTGGATTATGGTGTTGGGACAGGGACATTTGCAGCAAGAATGAGAGAGAAGAATGTGACTATTGTCACAACTGCTTTGAATTTGGGAGCACCTTTTAATGAGATGATTGCTTTGAGAGGTTTGATCCCACTGTACATCTCCTTGAACCAGAGGCTACCATTCTTCGACAATACAATGGACATGATTCACACTGCCGGGTTAATGGATGGTTGGATCGATCTTCTTCTGATGGATTTTGTGCTATATGACTGGGATCGAGTGCTGAGACCGGGTGGTTTACTGTGGATTGACAGATTCTTCTGTAAAAAGAAGGATCTTGATGATTATATGTACATGTTCCTGCAGTTTAGGTACAAGAAACACAAGTGGGCTATTTCACCTAAATCAAAGGATGAGGTTTATCTCTCTGCATTGTTAGAGAAACCTCCTCGTGCAATTTAAGGAAAATAATATAAAGTTTAAGCTTCAACGTTTGTAATTGACATTCTTACTCTTTTGATTGTGTAAACTGTAAAACCTTGTTTTAAATTTGAATACAAAGAGATTTTCAGCTCTGTTTCACTTTACTCGATAACTTAATTTGAGACTACTTTTATACATTGAAAGTGGC